GTGTGGGTGGAGCGCGACCCTGAGCTTCACCCGCTTGGGGCCAGCTTCTCAGGCCGTGAGCGGGGGTGCGAGCTGGGGGCACAGCCCGGACCTCCCGAATGCTCTGGTGAAAGGGGACCTGGGGAGGGGTCCTGGGGTGGGCAGGCGTGGGGAGCCGGAGGGGAGAGACAGGGAGGTGCAGGAGTGGGGAGGAGGGGTGCGCTTGCAGAAAGGGGGCTCTGGGGCGTGGGGCTTCATGGCAGCAGGGCTTTGGGACGGGCCTTGCCTCTGTCTCAGACGGGGTGGGGGCTCCTGCAGGCAGAGGGGCTTCTCCTGCGCCATCATCACCCCTCTGCTCCGGGCCTGCAGGTCCTGATGCCCGGTGTGACCCTGTCCCCTCGGGCGTGGGCTGCGGCGCGTCCCGTGCGCTCAACAGCACCTTCGGGGGCCCTGAGGTGGCACCTTCCATGACCAGCCTGGGGGGCCCGGGAGGGCTTTGAAAGCAGCGCCGCTCGCTCGAGCTGGAGACTGGAGACTTCATTCCTGAATCGATTGTGCTCCCCAAGGCCAAGGAAGGCCGCCCCTGCCCCTGCCCCGGCCCCTCCCCCGGCCTCTTTCTGACTGTTTTTCCTTTCCAGGGTGGTCTCTGCTCCCTGCCCGGTGATGTCACTGCCCAGAAATGCCGGGTGGGAGGCGCAGGGCACTCGCTGCCATTCCCCCGCCAGCCTCGGCTCCCCAGGGACTCTCTGGCCGGGAGTTCCAGGCTCCTTCCCAGCGGAATTTATGATTCCCTTGGCCAGCGCCGCTCCCTCCTCCAGAAATAAAACCAAGTCGGCAGGGAGCTGGGGCGCAGCCCTCGCTGTATTTTTCCTCCGTGATCCTCCGGCGACCCGCGGCGGGGTGGAGGCGCCGCCTGCAGACGGGCTCCAGGGGCGGTGGGCTCCTGGGCGGGCCAGTCCTGCGCTCCGGCCCCAGTGCCACCGTCCGAGGAGGAGGGCCTGGGCAGCGGCTTGCCAAAGCGCGTCTGCGTCCCGGACTGTTTTAGGGGGTGAAGACAGGGGCACCAGCCCCCTGGCTTTGTGACTGTGGGGCTGGGCCACGGCAGGCGGGCGGGCACTGGCCCTGGGGTCACAGTTTAAGGAGGCACGACAGACCTCGGTCATCAAGATGAACACAACTTGGTGCCAATTTAAAAAAACATGAGGCAGCCGTCCGCGAGGACCAGAATGTCGCTGTTCCCAGCGCGGCCAGGCGTGTCCCCGTTGTTCTGGGCGCTGAGGGCGTGCATCTGTAGTTGGGGGTCGGGAAACACGGCCACGGCGCCGTGCCACGACGCCAGGGGGCCAGAGTACGTCCACGATGGCACGGCGAGTGTCCTAGCAACGGGGCGGCCTGGCGTGCGTGAGGGCAGAGGACGTGTGGGGACAGCCGAGGGAGGTGAGGGAGGGGAGAGCCAGGGCAGAGATCCCGGGGCCACGCACTCCTCTCCCCACGTGCAGGACGCCACGGTGCACGGGGAGCGGCCGCCCCTTCATTGACTGGTCCGGAGGGGCCTGACCTGAGCCTGAGCCGCCAGTGCCTGGGGCCCGCTGGGGCAGGAGCACGCGGTGAGCTGCGCCTGCAGCGGGGACATGCTGGTGGCCAGAGAGGGCCTGGGCCGGAGCCCCGGGGCAGCAGCCGCTGTTGTCCCTGCGTCCCTAGTCACCCTCTTTGCTGTAACTGGTGGCACTGGGTTTCCTCCTCTTAATGCAAACATGGCTTGGAGGGCCTCTGGCCACACGGGCTCTGCGTCTGTGCCCGGGGTACCTCAGGTGCCCCCTCATTTTTTTTTTTAATATTTATTTACACAAGCACTGGGTACAGTCAGAAGCGCGGGAGGGTGAGAGAATCCACCAGAGCCAGAGCGGGGAGCAGAGCAGGCAGAAGGACCGAAGTACACTGCTGAGGGGAGCAGCGGGCGGCAGGAGAGGTCTGTGCGCCATGTGGGACCCTCGCTGGTGGCCGGGGATCGAACCGGCCCAGCGCTCAATGCTGCGCCACCAGGGGAGGCCCAACCCCCTCATTCTTGACGTGCGCGCTGCCCTGGTCCACCAGGCAGCAGAGCCTGGAGCATCCTCCCCAGAGCACGAGGGTGCCGTTTGGGTCCTGCTCTGGGGGCTCAGCGGGGCGACAGTGCTCCCCGCCTTGCAGGGGCCCTGAAGCAGAGCCCGAGACGTGGATTAAAATCTGGGAGAGGGGTCCCCAGAGGCTCCCTTGGGGCAGGGAGGAGAGGCGAGGAGGGCAGTGTAGGCCCCGTTGATGGTCAGGCCCCCACTGTGGGCAGGGGCCCTCCTTTGGGGGTCTTTGGGGCTGCGGAGAGCCCGCTCCTGGTGGTGCCGACAGCCTGGCCTCTGCCCAGGCCTCTGCCCTGGCGGCTGTGACCTCCAGGCCGTCATTCGAGTTGCCCTGGGAGCTGGCTTGGGAGAGGCAAAGACAATGTGTGTGCACAGAGGCGTGCGCGGCTGGTGGGGCCTCCGGGAGTGAGCCAGGGTTGGGGGCTCTCGGTGCAGAAGCTGCCCCTTCCTGCAAGACCCCCTCGGGCCCCAGGCTGCCCTGGGCTGCCTCAGAGATGTCCTTTTTTCCGACCAGGCTCTCCAAATCCCATGGCCAGCCTTCCCGGGAGCTCCTTGAATGGGGGTGCTCTGCCGAGCTGTCTTTTCTGCGAGCCCTGACGCTCAGAGCGGGCGCAGCTGGTCTCAGATGACCCCAGGTCCGACCAGGGGTGGCGGGGCGTCACTTTCCTTGGAGTGCAGACAGACGTGTCACTCCGTAGGAATCACCTCCTGGCCACGGGTGGCAGGCGTGACCCGGTCCAGACCCCCTCTGTGCCGCCAGCCACGGGGCCCCAGCCACGTGTGTCTCCTGGTGCCTCGGGAAGGCGGCTCCCTTCTGGGGCCCGCTGCGGCCAGGCGGGCCGGGAGGGTTTCTAACAGCGCCGCTTGCGCTCCGGCTCCAGCGCCAGCTGAGGGAGCCGACTGGGGTGGGTGCCTGCGTCTGCCCCCAGGGTCAGAGCCGTGGGCAGGGGCTGGGCCTGAGGGACCCGGGAAGAGCCGGTCGGCGCCCCCCTCCCAGCGCACCGGGCCAGCACCTAGCGGGGTCAGCGGGCTGTCAGCGCCGCGGCGGCTGCAGTTTCTTGCCCCGTTCAGGGAAGCGCGGGCCTCCCGCTGCGCCCGCCTACGTGTGCCCTGGAATCAGCTACATCCTGAATATAAAAAGGTCTCCGTGCCCAGGTCTGAAGCCATTTATAGCAATTCCTGTTTCCACTGTGGATTTCAGTTTTGCTGATACGGAGGGAAAATTTCAAGCCCTCTGCTGTATAAATTTAGTTAACATTTTATTGCTCGTGACTTTTATCACAGGACTTTTGTTTCTCATTAAATCAGCGAATGAGATTTACTAATAAGCCAAGTGAAATCTAATTAGGGCAGGCCCTTTCCTGAAGGACCCCGCTCCGCCGCCCCACAGATGTTAGGATTCAGGCTGAGCGGCGCCCCCGCGCCCCCGCAGCACTCGCTCGCGCTGCATTTAGCACAAAAGCTGGGATCATTTCATAGCTTTGTTTCCTGAAAATGAATATGCGTTGCCTCAAGGATCAAAACCAAAAATAGGTGGAAAGGCCATGGGCCTGCTCCGGCAGTGAAATCCATATATTAAATGCAACTTTGCAATTCATGCTCGACGGGACTATTGTGAAAATGAGAAGAGATTTCTAGATTAATGCTGGGGTTCTGATTTCCCTTTGGTTACGTGGAAGTTCTGTTTTCAGGCTGAGCAGAGCTCACGCCCCTCGGTCACACGTGTCCTCAGAGGTGTCTCCCCCGGCGGGCACCTTCCCCTCACGGTCATGCCTGTAGGGACTAAAATCACTACTGTGCGTTTCTAGGGTTTTCTCTTGCCTACCGTCGAAAGAGAGGTGTGTTTTCTCTCCTTCCAGGTCCTCCCCGTGTCCCCGTGGGGTCAGGCGCCTTGGCTGCCGGGCCCCGCCACCCGTCCTCAGGGCTGCAAGGCCGCCTCCATCCGTCACTTTTTCCCTCTTGGGCTGAGATCAGAGGCTCAAGGCTCGGTGGTGCTGCTCACGGGGGAGGGGCGGCGGCTGGGCCTGTCTTTTGACCCAGCTGTCAAGAGGACGATGGCTCTCCAGGTGTTCTCAAAAGGTGCTCACCTAGGGACTTGTGAAAGAAAAGCCAGTATGACCTCGTAGATGGACACATAACCAGTGGGTGTTGCTCATGGAGACTTTCTTGCCATCCTCCCCGGCCCTGTGCCGCCCCCTCGCCGCCACCCGCTGCTGCCCCAGGAGCCCCGGCCCGTTTCCACGTGGGTGCCCCTCACCTGGGGCCCATCTCCTTCGTGTTCTCTCCCGCCTAGAATCACCCCCTCTCCAGGAAGCGCCGGTGTCTTAAGTGAGAAGTGGCCGCCAGACACCTTGCCTGGCCTGGGGCTCCAGAGTCACTGTTTCCGGGGGTTTCTTATGATCGACCGTGCCCCCTGAGGCCACGCTTTCACGTCTACCGCAGATTCAGGACCGTGGAGCTTTGCACCTTAGCGCCTCTTGGATTTCATCTCTACATTCGCTTTCCCGCAGTAAGAGTTCTCGCAATTACAGAAGCAGCAGCTGGCGCCCTCAGAATATGCCTCCGTTAGGGCTTTGCTCGGCCTGGCTACATGTACAGCTTCACAACACACCACGCGTTTCCGCCGCCCCGTCCCGAGAGCAGTGCTGTGGCTTTTCTGCACGAGCGATTCCGCTCTGATTGGTCTAGCGCCGCTTCGGCGCCCTCACGCATCCCGCCGTGAGCTGCCCTGCTCCCCTGAGCAATCTTAACTCTGCTAGTCAGTGCCTTGTGCTCAGCCTGGTCAGCGGCATCCCAGCCACTGAGTGTCCAGGCTCGACCCCTGTTGCCCCCTCAGGGGGTACAGCACACCCCTTCCTGAGTTCCTGCCTATTTATTACAGTTGATCTGTGCCCCCCCCCCTTTTAGATCAAATCCATGAATAGAAAATCCTTGGCTCAGAATTTCTCTCTTTGGTTATTTTAAATATGTTGCCACGTGTTTCCGGCACAAAGCCTTGCTGTCGCAGAGTATGCCGTGCGCCAGTTTTCTCACCTTGTTAAGTACCCTTTTCCCAGTGGGACAAAGAATCTTTTATTGCCCTTTTAAGTCCAGTTTTTAAAAACGATCGCATCTCAGCGGGCCGTTCTGATGACGCCGCCAGGTGTGTGGTGTGTGTGCCCTTTCGACGCCGGCGTTCACATGTTCTGAATTTCAGGAGCATTTTCTTGAATTGCAGGCTTTTGTACTGTTCTGCTTTCACTTTTTGTTTTTCTTCTTCGAGGACTTCTTTTCCATATGTTGGATCTTCTTTGCCCAAGTCAGCATTTTTCGTTTTTTTGTCACTTATTTCTTTTTCGTTTTTGAAAGCACCTCGTTTCTCCCTGACCCGTCCCCAGGCCCGTAGCCACTGACAGCTGTCACCTGCGCTTCCGGACTCGTCTCCTGACGTCGTGGCCCCTCCTGCCTCCCTCAGGGCGTTTGCGCTCCCATCACTGGTATCCTTAACGTCTCTCCGCTCTCTGGAAGCATCCAGGACGGGTCATCTCGTCTTGTCTTGGGCTCAGTTGTGTCTCTGGTGTGCTTTGTAGCCCAGTCAAGGGCCAGCGCTGCTTTTCTGTAAAGGACAGACAGGAGCTGTTCTGCCTTGTGAGTCACATAAATACTCTGCCACCTGTTATTTTTCTTTCCAACGAGTCTTTAAAATGTAAAAAACATTCTCAGCTGATGACCCAAACAGGCTGAGGTCAAATTTACACATCTAGAGTCTAATACTGTCTGATCTAGCGGCTTATCACTCTGTGCTGCTGCTGCTTTTTCCTGTAGCCGATTTATATCAGATTTTCCCTCAATACTTTCCTGTCCTTTTTTTTTTTTTTTTTAATGTGACTTGTCTCCCGCAACCCCATGGAGCTCGGCTCCCGGCCCCTCTGGCCTCAGAGCCCCCCTCTTCATCTCCTCTCCTCTGTTCCCTGTGGGTCAGCAGCTGGTCGCAGCTCCCCGCCGGGCTTTGCCTCGGCTCCTCCCTCGCCCTTACCTGCTTCTGTCTCCACTTGCCTCTTATCTGGGATCTCAGCGCCGATCCTGCCTCCGTGGGTCCTGCCCCAGAGGAAGCCACTTAGCCTGAGAACCGCTGTGGCCAGGCAGCCTGAGCCCAGGCCTCCTGAAACCACGTCCCTCGCGGGTTCGCCCCAGTGTCTGGAGTAGAAGCTCCTGTTAGGTATGATCTGGAAGGTTACTTTGAGGGCCCGGGGACTCTATGCCATTAATTGATATGTGTGAGCCCTCCTGGACCCCCGCAGCCTGCGGCCACCTCAAGTGGGCGTTCCCGCTTCTGGCGGGGAGGGGCCGCCCCGAGAGCCTCTCGGCTGCTTGGTCTGCGGGGCTCTCCCCTGCCCCGACTCTCCCGGGATGCCGCCCTCAAGTCTGCCAGGGTCCAGCGCTTGCGCTCTCTGCCACGCGCAGCTCCAGGGGCCTCTCACCAGGGTTTGCTCTCAGGAGTCCGGGTTTGGCTCTGCTTTCCACTGGCTCTGCTCTTGTGTGGGGATTTGAGATGCTTCAAATCTATGCTCCCTCACCCCCCGTTTCCTGAAGCAAAATCTGGCAGATAGAGTGGACCCCAGAGATGGGGGGGCCACCCCTGAGACGCCTCCAATTCCTGTCAAACAGCAAAGCAGAAACTCTGGGCCCACTGGGCTTGGTGTCAGGGAAGCCATGTTTCCTTGTCCTGTTTTTGTGGCTGACTCAAACCCCTCGTTTCTGCTTTGGCCCTGTCTTCTCTAAATTGGGGGCCCCGTGCCCCCTGGGGGTTGCTGCGAGGAGCAGATGTGGCGGCCTGCTAGCCCGAGCCTGGTGCTAGCCCCGGGGTGGCCCCCACTAGAGCGTGGCTCCTAAGTGGGCCCAGGAGCCCTCATTGCCCCCTGCCCGGGAGAGCGTCCGCCCTGGAAACGCAGGCCGGCACCCCTCGCTGGCCTTCCAGAAGAGCCTGCTGACCCTGGGCTAGGACCTCCGCCAGGGCGGGGCGGCAGAGTGGCATCTCATCCTCCTACTGGTTCTTTAAGACAGGTTACTGGGATGTCGGGCAAAGGGCTGTTGTCACAGAGACCCCGGCCCAGCAGCAGCGGGAGGGGCAGCCCCGCCCGCAAGTCCTCGCTGGGAATGTCCAGGCCGGTGACTGCCGGGGGCAGGGAGCGGGTGAAGGGACAGTGAGGAGTGGCTGCTGAGGAAGACGGGTCCCCTTGGGGTGATGGAATGTTCTGGATGCCCCGAATGCTGCAAGGCAGTGAACGTCATGTTCGTTTTACGTCTGTGTAAACCCTCCGCGCACGCGCTGGCTCTGGGAATGCCAAGCCAGGTGCCTGGAGGCCTGAGGTGTGTCCCCACCGACCTGTCGGCCCTGCGGCTATCCTGGGGCCCAGCTGGGCTCCTAGTTTGTGCTCAGTCCTTCTCCGCAGCCAGGAGACAGCCCGGAAGGTGGGAGCTCGGTCTCCCCCGTCCCCGGCAGGCACATAGTAGGTGGTGTGGTGGCGGGAAGGGAGAAGCCCCCCCCTTCAGCCCCTCGGTTCAGCAGCGTCCGTGGGATATCAGGGAGGCACCTGATGGCCCCGTCACTAGGGGAGGGTGGGGGTTGGGTGTCCCCCCGACTGGGCCCCTCTGCCAGCTCCCCAGAGCCAGGGCTGCCTGGGTGGACCAGCCTCTCCTCGCCCTCCCGGAGGCCCCGGGCCCAGGTGACTGGTGCGCTCACTCACCGCCCTGTCCCTCTGGGGCGGCCTCATCCGCGCAGCAGGCTCCTCGGGGCGGGGGGGGGGGGGAGCAGGGGGCGGCGTCTCCTCCCGCGAGCAGCTCCAGACTTCTGTCTCCGCCGAACCACCCACGATTCCCACACACAGGAGCTCGAAGGTGTCATGTGAACCAAGAAATATATGCCGAGGCGACCCTTTCCGCAGCGCCGCGGGGAGGGAAGGAGCCGAGGCCAGCGGCCTTTCCAGCTGGAGGCCACGCTGCTCAGGGGCGGGCCGGGAGCCCGGGGAGGTGGCCGAGCCCTGGAGGAAGGGGGAGCTGGAGGGCTGGACGTGGAGGGGGCCTGGCAGGACGTGGTATGTGGGTGAGGGGGCCATGGGGGTTCTGAGGCCCTTGAGAGGTGTGTCAGCCGTGCCGCCCCGGGGGGGAGCCTAGAACCCCCTCGAGTGCCGCAGGCAGGGGTGGGAGCCGCGTCCTCCCGTCTGTGGGTGGCACCAGGGTCTCCCCTGCAGATGGCTGCAGCGGCGCCGGTGACTGTAGCTGCAGAGACTCGGGGCCTGTCGTGACTGCAGGCGTGTGAGTGTGGGGTTTCCACGGGAGGCCCTGGAGCAGACGCAGGAGCTCAGGGTCGGCTTCAGCTCGCGCGCCTGCTCGTCCTGGCATCTCCCTCTGCCCTGGCCCTGCGGGAAGGCCACGGAGCAGCCTTTGTGGTTCACGGGTTGTGGGGAACCCCGAGCTCTAAGGCCCCGTTCTCAAGCAGCGGCTTCCTGGGAGCTCGGCCGGGTGCTCCTGCACGTGCCCGGCTGCTTCAGGCACAGCCCGCGCCTGGAGAAGGCACCCCTGGCCGCGAGGGGGTGCGGGGCTGCTGGCGGGCCTCACAGTGTCATCGCGTGTCGTGAGCCCGCCCGTCAGTCTCCATCAGACAGACCCTGGGGGTGTCCCCAGAGCCGCAGGGAAGCTGCCGCCCCCCGCCCCGCCCCCTCCCCCGGCATCCCACCCGCCCCCGCCTCGCTGCCTTGTGCAGGGCAGGACGCCGTCATCCCCTCGCCAGGCCCGGCCGCGCCGAGGCTGATGCCAACGCCCCGCTCAGAGGTGGCCCTGCGCTGAGCTGGCTGGGGAGGCAGAGCCTGCTTGCGGCAGCTTCGCCCTGGACTTGGCACACGAGGGCCACGGCGCCCGAGCAGGTTGGGGTGGGTGCGTCCTGTCCCAGTGACGCCCGTCTCGCGGCGGGTCAGACCTTCCCCGTCCACGGTGCTCCTCACATTGGAGACTCCTGGGCTGGCGGTCCAGCCCCCCACACCAGCGTTTAAAGTGGGTCAGGCTGCGCACACATACCGTTAAATCACAGCTGTCTGGATGCCTTTCCGTCCAAACGGGCCCGTCGTCTGCTGGGAAAGCCATCAGCTCCGCCTGGCCGCTCCCACCCCGGCTCCCCCACACCGCGTGTGATCCATCACCGCCGGCCACTTCCCTGGAGCGGCTCTCAGGCCGCTGCCCCGGCGCGGCTGGTGCCCACTCTCACCCTGAACGTGTGTGGCCCAGGCAGGTCCGTCCCCGCCTCCGAGGCTCAGGGCCCTTGCGGGAGCAGCGGGCGACAGGAGCGGGGTGTGGTGAACTGGCCCCTCACGCCGCTAAGGCCTGGCGCGGGCTCGATGTGCAGCGGGTGTTAAACATCTATTAATGGAAAGGAAATGATTCGCCTTTGAACCTTTGCTTCCCTGAGCTGCCATCTCTGCTGCTGAGGCGGGGACGGCCATGGGTATGCTGAGCTCCAGGAGCATGTCCTAGGAGAGGAAGGCCAGGAGGGCAGTTGTTTGAGTCCAGGGAGGTGAGGGGGTAGACCTTTTAGGATGAGTCCCCAAACGAGACCCCCTGCAACGAGAGGGACCCGTCACTTCAGAGCCCAGTGGACAGAGCTGGGCAGGAGCAGGAGGGGCAGAGCTCGCTGCCTAAGGACACGAGTGAAGCCTGGCGCTGCGGGGCCAAGTGAGGTCTAGCCCGGCTCGTCCAGGAGTATCCTGGCGGCTCGGACCTGGGCAGCAGAGGAGCCAGAGCTGGGCAACCCCTAATGGTGCACCCTGCACGCCTGTGGCACTCGGGCCCTGCCCAGCCCTGACACAGCTCCTGGCGAGCTCCGGAGATGCCGTGTTGGGGAAGCCTGTGTCGGACCTTCCCGGGACGAAAGGGCAGCAGTGCTGTGGGGAGCGGCTGTGAGCCCATACCCGGCGTCTTCGTGGAGGGCTGCCTGCAGGAGGCGTCGCGACGCCCTCCTGGAGGGACAGGCAGCCATCTGGGGCTGAGGACTGGGGAAAGCCCCCTGCAGGAGAGCACGGTGGGAGCTGGGGTGCACTGGGGAAGATGGGCGCAGGGAGTGCTCCTTTGTGCACTGGAGAGACACCGGGCAGCAGGGCCCCCCCGAGTGCTGAGTGTGGGGGTGTCTCCCTGCAGGAGGGGTGCAGCGGGGCAGGCGTCAGGGCCAGGAGCTCGGGGGCGCCCAGCCCGGCACGTTGGCCAGGGGCAGAATCTGAACGGGGAAAGCACATTCCCCAGAAAGGAGGTGCTGGGGGTATGGATGGAGGCGTGACGGGGCGCCCCGAGGCCTGGAGAGTGTGACGAGTGTGCAAGGGTGTCTGTGCCCGGCCGTTGCTGCCCATATCCTCCCCGGTGGGGACGTCATGAGACCCAGCGATGCACGTGTGCCCTGTGCTGGCGTGTGCGTGCGTGTGTGTCCCCCTTGTGCCCCTGCGTGTGCCCGTGCGTGTGTGCACTGTGGCCTGGTGCTGTGGGCAGCCGTCTGCATGTCCCAGCAGGCCGTGGGGACAGCTGCCCCCTCCCTCCTGAGGTTCTCCCCGCCCAGGTCAGGACTCAGCGTAGTCGGGACAGACTTGGGGAGAGCGAGAGAAGAAATGGGGGAAAGAGAAAGGAGAAGGATGGGGGTCAGAGCGGGACCCCGGTTCTTGTAGCCCCTCGCAGGCCAGAGCCGAAGCGGAAGTGCTCCGTGAGGGGGAGCCTGAGGCCTATTTGTGGGGGTGTGGTTGGCGCAGCTGAAACCCGGGCCCGCCCGCTGCAGCCGCACCGGCCTGCCGGGACGGGCCCTGTGTGTGGGCGCGAGGCCGGGGCCATCGGGGGCCGGGACGGGGGTTGCTGCGGGATGTCGCTGGTGGGAGGGACGAGGTGTCCGAGGAGAAGGCGGCTTTGGGGGCCGGTGACGCAGGCCGGGCTCGCGAGGTGTGTGGAGGTGGGTCTTGGGAGGGGACGGCGGGACGCGGCCACTGCTGCCCCTCCTCTGGAGGGACCCGGAGTTCAGGCTCCAGCCCTGGTGACCCCAGTGGGACGCCGAGTTCTGCCAGGTCCCTGAGCCCGCTAGCTGGACTGACATCTGTGGAGACAGAAGGGGGGCTCGGGGCCAGGATAGAAGAGGGCGGGGTGTCCCCCCCCAAAGTGGCAGTGGGTGGTTCTGGCGATGGCGTCCAGGGTCAGGCGGTCGTGGCTGGCGCGGAGGGCGCAACCTCCCTCGTGGGCGCCTTGGACTCCCGCTGGTGAGGGGCGTAAGATCGTGCCCAGCTCACGGCTTGTCACGCGGTTTCCCTTGCGCTCTCTGTGACCCTGAGCGAGCTCCTTGTAACGTGTCCCCCGCTGCCTCGTCTGTGAAACGGGGTAGCCAGAACAGACCCACCTGGCGGGGCTGTGGGTGGTTCAGACCGGCGGCTGAGCTCAGTGCTCCTGCAGCAGCCGACAGGGCGTGTCCCGGGCCAGCCGCTGTGGCCTCTGTTGTGATCCCACCCAGGTCGTCAAGCCTCGCTCCCCGCACACACCACCCCTGCTCGGAAGGCGCTTCGGGGCGACCTGGGCGGGGGTGTTCTCGTCTCTGCCATTTCCCGGTGAGGGAACTGCATCTCCAAGAGGGTGTCCCCCTTGTGTGGTGCCCCCACCCGTAAAGCGGTGGGGGGATATTCTCTGCACCCTGACTGTAGTGCAAACCCAGGGGCTGAGACACGCAGAGACTGGGGCTCCGCCATGGCCCCCCGTGGCTCCCATCAAGTAGCAGGAAGGGGAGAGGGGTGACCCGGCCTCAGCTCGCACATCTGTGAACTGGTGTGAGGTGCCGCCCCCGCCCGGCGCTCCTGCCGAGGCTGCCCCGGGCCTCTGTCCCGAGCGGGCTGCAGATGGGGCCGAGGCTCCCACCTCTCGCTGACAATCTGTTTCTCCTCCTAGACAAGGTGGGTGCCCGGCCAAGGTCGTTGCTGCTGGGGTGCTCGGGGGCCGTGAGGTGATGTCATGAAGGTCTCTTACC